TAGTGGACAGATTTGCAAATGCTTTCAGAGCGAGAGAGAGAAGCCTTAGATGGGAGAAGAAGACAGAGATGGAGAGGGAGACAGTGAACGTCGGACGGTGGATGAGGGACAAGACGTTGTACGGTGGAGGCGAGGGACGGTGGAGGAGAGATAGATCTGGAATAGAGTTGTAATACCTCTGTTTTACAACTATTTTACATTTGCGCAAGATTTCAATATATATATATATTTTTTTTTAACACAATGCGTGAAACACACGCACTATATGTGCAACTATCCTTCATCGTCCCTGGTTGGGTGCCACATGTTTAGAGCTGCTTTTAGAGCCTCTAAATTAGAGGTCTGAATCGGAACTGATAACCAGAAGAACATACACACCTACCTAACCTAACAAAACTACGAGCTGTCTCTTGATCTACACACATTAACTCATCAATCCCACAGTGTTTCTAACAGGAAAGGCCTGTGAAAAAGCCCTTCCTGGTTTTCTGTTTCACAATCTTTGAGAGGGACAGAGCACAGAGAATTGAAGAAATGGGTGATGAGATTATTAAAAAGTATCAAATAACCAAAGTAAACGAAGACATTGAAGAACTAGAGCAAGCCCAAGAGCCTTTGCTAGCCAGATTATTATCCAATCTGCCTTCCACCTTCAAAGAATTGAAGAAATCGCTCGAATAAACAACCACCTCCACCGATTCGAATCCGACAAAATTCAACAGACACTACAGGGAAAAAGGGTTACGGTGGCGTTTTTTTAACGACATTTTTTTAAACGTCACTGTTATTAGCATTTAGCGGCGTTTTATAAACGCCACATATTCTTTTAAGCAAAACGGCACCGTTTTATGATAGGAGGCGTTGAAAAACGCCTCCGAATGTGGTGTACCTCACGCGCCTTCCTTATTTTGTATCTGGCCCTCTCTGGATAAATGAAAGATAATTATTTCATCATATGTTGCTATGTAATTAATAGTGTGGATGGTTTATTGCAATTATTTCGGGGTGTTACAATTGGTGAGGAAAATATATTTCTCACTAATAATTTTATAATTTGTGACAATTTTTTTCCTCACCAAAAGTTTCAAAATTTTGGCTCCACCCAAAAAATTATTGGGAAAACCTGTAGTGACGAAACTTAATTTTTCTTTACCTAAAAAGAAGTATTTATTGACGAAAATCAATTTCGCCACCTATTATTTTTATTTTTTTAATATATGTGACAAAATTTTATAATTAGTCATGGATTATTCTTATTTAGTGACAAAATTTATTTTTTTCACTGCTTTTCGTCACCATAGGTTACTTTTGTTGTAGAGAAAGTATATGCAAATGATCATAATAACTCCATGCACTCAACTCTAAAATGAATCATCTTCAAGAATTGAGGGTTAAATTCTCACCTAGTGCCTTCAAATACACTAGTTCTTGCACAATCCTGGTTCCTGTAGCAATAATCATGAAGTTCTCCTTCAAATCTACACTTTCTCTCTCTAGAATGAGAGTTCACTCTCTCTCTCTCTCTAAAGTTTAACTCAGATTTTTGCACTTACAAATGAGAAAGATGAGCTCGCAAATGAGCATAGAGCACATATATATAGCTAAGATGGCTTGATACATTAATTAGAGCATTAGGCTAATTAAACACAACTTAATTTATCAAACTGAATCAATTTTTAGTCAAACCTACCAAACTGTTCTACAAATTTCAATTAGTCTATTCATGTAGCCAATTTCGGTTTTTGAATTCATTTAAGCCATCAATTTCGAAATCTAAACAGAAATCATAACAGTTAGTTCTCAAATCAAACAGATGTATACAATTAATCGTATGGCACATATCACAATTAAAAATTAACATATAATTAAACAAATGTAATCATAATATGCATGTTGGGGTCATCACAGTCTCCACACCTTAAGAATTTTTGTCATAACCTGACCCTCTTATATGCGTTACATTTCTTTAGTAACCTGAATACTTACTTATTCAATGTGAGATTCCATGCAGAATTACGCTTACATGTGTGAATTGTTTGATCATGTTTTTCTATCTGTTGATTATTGGAACACATCTGCCAAAATTAAGATGTTAACTTGGAAATTTAAAGTCGTAGAGGCACGATAAACTGAAATTGAGTATGTGAACATTCTAGTGGGAACTTTTATAGCTACTTGGGAAGTTTAATTGAAAATTTATTTTGTCAGATTCGCTAAGGCTCGTTTGGCAAGTCTAGAAGCTAAAGACCTATATATGTGTTATATAAGTCCCTTTTTAAACCCATCTCTTTATATATATTTAGTGGAAATTCTGGAGAGCACCTAAGAGAGAGAAAGAAAAGAAAAGGAAGGGAGCAAGGAGAAGAATTTGGAGATTGAAGCAATTGTTGGATAAAAGTAAAGATTAGCTCCCAAGGTATGTGAGAATTAGCTAAGCTACACTTGATCCTTCATCTTTTCTATGGAATCAAGCCTTGGGATAAAGTTCTAGGGTTTATGGATTATTATCATAGCTTAACTTATTCCATGGGATTGGATACCTAATCTTGAATTTGGACCATAGAAGGTTAATTCTTGAATTTGGGATGTGTTTTGAGTAGCTTGGGAGGATACACTTTCTTATCATCAAGTTTTGTATGTTTTGAATCCTTCATGTTGTATTCCCTTGATAAATCATAGAAAGATGAAGAAATATGAAAGTTAAAGTAAGCTATAATTCACTTGAGTTTAGGGATTCATGTTTATTATGATTATATAACATATTGTTGGAGTGTAATTGTTTGAACCAAGCCTTGAGAATGCCTTGAAAAAGGGCTTGAATTTACTGCATTTTTGGACTTACACTTTCTGATCATCAAGTTTGGATGTTTTGAATCCTTTATATTGTATTCCCTTGATAAATCATAGAAAGAGGAAGTAATATGAAAGTTAAAGTAAGCTATAATTCACTTGAGTTTAGGGTTCATGTTTATTAAGATTATATAACATATTGTTGAAGTGTCATTGTTTGAACCAAGCCTTGACAATGCCTTGAAAAAGGGCTTGAATTTATTGCGTTTTCAGACTGCCAAACAAGGGATATGACCGCACGTGCGGGGCCCTTGGCCGCACGTGCGAGAGGAACAACCGCACGTGCGAGGCTCACAGCCACACGTGCGGAAAACATGGGAGAAGGGTGGAGCTATATTGCTAAAAAGGCATGTGCGGCCCATACGTGCGGCACACCTGTCCACATGTGCGGTAGGGACTTCCGCACGTGTGGCCCAAACTGGAAAATTCTATAATTTTCTTTCTCTCTTCTCGACCCTCTAAATGTGTTCTTATGTCCGTTCGATGTTCTTATAATGTATTTAATTACATGAAATGTAATGAATCGAATAATTGAAAATTTAAAAGGAAACTAAGAAAGGTGATGTGCTTACAAATTATGTGCTATGTGTAGGGCATCCACAGGAGGAAACTAGAGTTCACTCGTATCACAGTGAGTGATAGTAGCATAATATCATGCTCCACTCATGTATTATGTTTGTATATGTTATTCGAGATCCCATTCACTTTCCAATGAATATCTTATGTTATATGAAATGCGTTTGAACTTTGACATGTGAAATATGGACCTGAGGTCATTTTGTATTATGTTGGGCCGAAGGCTGTTTTGCTATTATAATGGGCAAGGCCGTTCCGTACTGCAATAGGCCTAAGGCTGTTCTGTATTATGTTGGGCCTAAGGCCGTTTTGCTATTATAATGGGCCTAAGGCCGTTTTGTATAATGTTGGGCCTAAGGCCATTCTGTTTTATGTGGGCCCAAGACCATTCAGAAAAGGAGAAACGAATAAGATCACAACTTATGAATATGCACTGTTAACTTATGCTCATACTCTTAATTTGTTTGTACTACTATCATTCACTGAGCCTTGCTCACTTTACTTTTATGTATGTTTTGTAGGTAATCAGCCCGCGAGTCAACCATAGAACAACCCAGAAGCCTTTTGTTGGACCCATTTTGCTGAGTCACCCGAAGTGACTCTTTTGCTTTATTCTAGAAAATCCCTCTGATGGCATGTTTTGTTATAATTTGAAGAAAACAAATATGTATATAGATTTTGACAACACTTAACTTTTGAGTTGTTTCCTTTTACACTTAGTAATGGGAGTGGTGCATGGAATGTTATGTATGTTTGGTATTGTAAAAAGATCATGGCATTTAGACACAACTCAATGAATGTTTTATTCTTCTATTATTTTGCTTCCGTTCAAGCCCGATATCAAGTAAACTTTAAGACATCTTAAAAATTGAGGCCTAAAGTCCGGACGGTCATGTCCGAACTTTCAAGGGCAGGTTTGGATCGTGACAGTTGGTATCAGAGCACGAGTTGTGACTTTACACATAAGTTCATTGAGCTTTAGAGCGTCTAGAAAAGACTTATGCTGCATGCACGTGAGGTTCAGTGCATACAAAATGGTATGTAGCAGTTAGGTTGCACGTGCAGTAATCATTGATACACATATTTATGCTTACTTGTGCATTTTTGTATGTATTATAACTAACCATTATGTAGATCATGGTGAGGACAAAGACGGATGATCTGGAAGATGCTACCACCGTACGATTGGATAGAATGGAAAGGATGATTATGGAGATGGCGGAAACTTTGAGGCAACAACAGCAACAACCACCACCACCAATACTTGTACCACCGCCGGAGGTGCAAGACTACCAAGCTGAAGATCAAACAATTACACTCACGAAGGAATTCAAAAAGATGAAGCCGCCTTCATTCAAAGGAGGAATTGAACCAATGAAAGCAGAAGCGTGCGTATTGGGTATAGAAAAGTTATTAGAGCTTTTCCTTGTATTGAGGCCCAAAAAGTGTAACTTGCTGCCTTCACTCTTGAAGATGAGGCACGGAGGTGGTGGATGCTCACGAGAACTGCACATCAAGGGTTAACATGGGTTAGATTTTTGGAGCTATTCTATGACAAGTATTTTCCTCAAAGTATGCGAGATAAGAAAGTGACTGCGTTTGAGACCTTGAGACAGGAGAACAGGACTGTTGCAGAGTATGAGGCTCAATTTTCCGAATTGGCCCGTTTCGCACCACATATGGTGGATACGGACTATAAGAAGGAAAGAAAGTTTGAAGTTGGGTTACGAACTGCTATTCTCAACCAGATCAACGTGTTGAAACTACCTACGTATGTCGATGTGTTGGAAAGGACAGTGATCGCTGAAGGTAATGTTGCCGCTCAAAGCCGGGTCTCGGAATAGAGAGGAAAAAGACAGAATACCCAAACCTCAAGGGGCTCAGTGACACCGCCAAGTAAGAAATTGAATTCAGGAACTTCTAGTGCATCTGCCTCTAGCCGTGACTCTGCACCAATTTGTCCGGATTGTGGAAAAAGACACCGTGGGATTTGTTATCGGCTAATAGAGACATGCTTCAGGTGTGGCAAGACAGGTCATTTGGCCAGAGAATGTCCACAAAAGAATCGACAGAATGGGAATAGAACCACCACAAGTTTAGCAGGATCAACCCCTACCCCAACTATAAAGGCAACTACGAAACCCACCAACACTAAGGACACCACCAAACAAGGAAGGGTATTTGCGCTAATTCCAGGTGACGTGCAAAATACCGAGGCTGTGGTATCAGGTACATTTTCTGTTAATGGTCATTTTGCACATGTGTTATTTGATTCGAGCTATACCCATTCCTCTGTATCGAAAGCATTTGCTAGTCATTTAAATAGGCCAATGGAACCACTACCATATGTTTTGTGTGTATCTTCACCTTCGGGGGAGCCCATGGTATGTGCGTCTATTTATTTTGCATGTGAAATCCTAATCAGGGATGTTTGGGTAGATGCCAACTTGCTGCCTCTTGATATGGCTTATTTTGACATAATTTTGGGGATGGATTGGTTAAGCAAGTATCACGCGACTATAGATTGTGTGTCAAAACAAGTTACTTTCCAACTTGCAGGACAATCTGAGTTTATTTTTAAGGGCCAGAGGGTAGTTTCCCCACCCTACCTGATTTATGTAATGAAGGCGTGTAAGTTACTACAAAAGGGTTGTCAAGGATATTTGTGTAGTATTTTGGGTGAACAACCAGTGGATAGGGGCATTGATGCAATTCCAATTGTACGGGACGTTTCGGATGTTTTTCCAGAGGAGTTACCAGGAGAGCTTATTGATCGTGAAATTGAGTTTACAATTGATATTGTGCCAGGAACTCAGCCCATTTCTAAGACCCCTTAGAGAATGTCTCCCGCTGAAATGAAAGAGTTGAAGGTTCAACTGCAAGACCTCCTTGACAAAAGATTCATTCGCCCGAGTACTTCTCCTTGGGGCGTACCAATCCTTTTTGTGAAGAAGAAAGATGGGACCCTTCGGTTGTGTGTGGATTATAGGGAGCTCAATAAAGTAACTATAAAGAATAAATATCCTTTGCCCCGGATTGATGATTTGTTTGATTAATTACAGGGTGCACAAGTCTTCTCTAAAATAGATTTGTAGTCTGGGTATCACCAACTACAGGTTAAAGCTGAGGATGTCAAGAAAACTGCCTTCCGAACCCGTTACGGACATTATAAATTTTTAGTTATGCCATTTGGGGTCAATAATGCACCCATGGCCTTCATGGATTTGATTAACCGAGCTTTTAAGCCCTATCTGGATGACTTTGTAGTTGTGTTTATTGACGACATCCTCATTTACTCAACAGGTATGGAAGCTCATGAGAACCATCTACGGTTAATTCTTCAGACTCTGTAGGATAAAAAACTGTATGCAAAATTAAAGAAATGTGAATTTTAGCTACATGAAGTGGGATTTTTAGGACATTTGGTAACGAAGGAGGGTGTTGTTGTTGATTCGCACAAGATCGAAGCTATTGTGAATTGGCCAACGCCTACTAATGTGTCAGAGGTGCGTAGCTTCTTGGGGTTAGCTGGGTACTACCGAAGATTTGTTAAAGATTTTTCCAAAATTGCTGTGCCACTTACTCAGTTAACTCAGAAAGGTGTTATGTTTGAATGGTCAAAACAACAAGAATTTGCCTTTCAAGAGTTGAAGACAAGGTTGACTACCGCACCTGTTCTGGCCTTACCGACTGGTAATGAGGGATTTGAATTTATAGTGATGCTTCTCTCAAAGGTTTGGGCTATGTACTTATGCAAAATGGGAAGGTTATTGCCTACGCCTCCTGGCAACTTAAACCCCATGAAAAGAGTTATCCCACACACGACCTTGAGCTGGCTGCAGTGGTCTTTGCTTTGAAAATATGGCGTTATTACCTGTATGGAACTAAATGTGAAGTTTATACCAATCATAAAAGTCTTAAGTACTACTTCACCCAAAAGGAATTGAATATGCGTCAAAGGCGGTGGTTAGAGCTTATTAAAGATTATGACCTACAAATTCATTACCACCCCAGTAAACCTAATACAATTACAGATGCCCTTAGCCGAAAGAGTACAGGGAATTTGGTTAGTTTGCTCACGAGGCAGAAGGAGCTACTACGTGACCTAGAAGGAATGAATGTAGAAATTGTGTTACATAATCAAAATGGGATAGTAGCAGCGATATCAGCCCAACCGACATTTATGGAAGAAATTAAACAACGGCAACTGGAAGATGAATTTCTACAAAAAATTTGTAGTGAAATGGAAACAAAACCAAAGCCTGGGTTCGTAATTCAAAATTCGGTATTGAAATTCTAGGGTAGATAGCGTGTTCCCAATGTGCTAGAAATCAAGAGAAGAATCATGGAGGAAGTGCATAGCTCCAAATTTGCAATGTATCCGAGTAACACAAAAATGTACCACGATTTGAATTAGAATTTTTGGTTGCCTGGTATGAAGAGGGAAATTGCAAAATTTGTCTCGAAATGTTTGCAATGTCAACAAGTAAAGGTGGAGCACCAGAGACCCGTAGGTTTACTCCAGCCCTTCCCGATTCCGGAATGGAAGTGGGAACATTTAACCATGGATTTTTATCATGGGTTTGCCGCGAACTTCTTAGGGCATGAATTCTATATGGGTGATTGTTGACAGACTAACTAAGTCAACTCATTTTCTACTAGTAAAAACTCACTACAACGCAGATAAATTGGCTACTATTTATGTGGATGAAATTGTGCAATTACACGGTGTCCCAGTTTCAATCGTGTCCGATAGAGATCCAAAGTTTGTATCAAGATTTTGGTGAAGTCTACAGAATGCTTTAGGAACAGAATTGAAATTCAGTATAGCCTTCCACCCTCAGATAGATGGTCAATCTAAGAGGATCATACAAACACTGGAAGACCTGCTTCGAATGTGTGCTTTGGACTTCAAAGGAAGTTGGGAAACTTATCTACCATTGGCCGAATTCGCATACTGTAACAGCGCCCGCGTTGGGCCTCACGCTACAGTTCGGACTCGATTTGTGTCACGGTTCTTAATCTGAACCAAAGAGTCCAAATCTGGCAAATCGTTTTGAGAAACAGATTTTTGAAAAAGTAGTGCCAAACATGGACTGCTTTGCCAGATACAGAGTCGCCACCTAAATATTTTAAAATGGGAGAATTTAGGAACCCTGACTCGGTGGCCCGGGTTGGCCATTTCCGTCAATCGACCTGCTGAGGCGTTTCGGCTTGTCGAGCTTGGGGTTTTACTGATGAGGAGTTCAGTGTGCTTGGGCAGGAGCACCGTGGGGCCCTTGTCCGCGTACGCTGGTCCGAAGACTCGGCGCGCGTAGTCAACGCGTTGGTGATATCCGTTTTTGAAACTTTATGTGTTCTTAAACCCAATGGGGTTAGCCTGTCTAAGTTAAGTACTACTGTATGGTCGCGCAGCATAATCAGAGTGTATTTAGGGGGACCATCGCACCATGTGGTGGAAAAACATTTCACCATGTTTTGTTTTTGAAAAATGGTTTGGTAGCTTTTTTGTGCCAACAGGTAGGTGTTGGTGCTATAATATGCAGATTTTGCCACCGCTCTATAGTGGTTCTTTTTAGAAAAGATGATTTGCCACTATCTAGTGCCTTAAAACTCACAGTTTTAAATGCCATTACTCCAATTTAGGTAAATTCCAACCTCCATCCATCAGGCAATCAAGCAGTTATATCAACAATAAGCAGCTAGCCTCATGGTTGATCATGCTATCATGGCAACATTCACACGCATGTGATATGCAAAGCATAAAAAGCTTACCTAGTACTCTGTCCGTGCCAAAACAGTAAACTATTAGCGCAAAAATTGTGCCGATGTCCTAGTTTCATGTGAAGTGCCATAATGCACTCGCATATGTAAAATGGTTGCTTTAAGATAGTAGTTGTCTCGGCTTATTTCCTAGCCATACACTGTTCATGTGAAATCGCCGATAAGTTTGGTATGCGTTTACTGTATGATGCTGCTGTTTGAAATAATTTGAAGCGTTTTGATGGCATATTTTAGCGGTGATGGTTTATTGCGGGGGGGTTGCTTGGAGCCTGAAATGCATGGGTATGGTTTTTGGTTGGTTAGTTACAATTTTACTAATGCCATTGTTATTTGCAACATGCATGGGTTATGCATAGTGTTTTGTGATGGTTTGTAAAATTAGTCGTGACCTTAAATACTCATACGGCATCAAGAGTGCGAGGTAAGCTAAGGTGGTGTTATGGTGTATGGAAGAGGGGTAGTGGTGGATATGGTTAAGGAACATTTGTGTGCGGCGGACCCCTTGGGTCACTTATCTATGCGCTTTGTTTGATACGAGGATATTTGCCGTCGGGCATCACTGGTTTTTTTAGCGACATATGTTATTATAGAGGTACTAATTTTAAACTTAACTTACGTAGGTGTTACTTGTGGGCTATAGCTAACTTTATATAGGTTTACAAATTAATTAATTTAAGTTCTTAACAATATTTTAAAGAAATAATTATAAGAGTTGAGATATGCGTTCTTCGGGTGATAAACGTCGTCTGCGATTATGAACCGGTAATTGCACAAAGCTTGCCAGGTCTTTTTCTCTTCCTTTCCTCCTCTGGTGGGTCTTTTTGGCAAAGCTCTTTCTTGGAGTGTTCGCTGCATGCTTCGTTGTGAGCGAAGTAGGTTGAGTCAGTTTCATCTACTGTTTGGGGTTTGGCTGGAATTGAGTGTATACTTTTTCGCAGCCGGGGGGTGGCATCTGGTATGTTAGTGGCCTATTCGGCAAGCATTGAGAAATAGGGGTCTGTTCTGGGCGAGGGTATGGGAATATTGGGCTGGCAGTTGTGGTGTGTTGGTGTTTGTTTGTTTTTGTTATTTGTTCACATTTTCGTTAGGCTTATTTTGGCGCGTGTGGTTGACGGTTGTGTTTGTTTGCTATGTGTCAGATTATTTGCCTTTGCGAGAACCTTTGCAACTTCGACTTGAAGCAACAGAGGTGGCTAAAAAACAGTTGTAGTCATGTACGAGTTGCTTGATATTTTCAAGACATGTGGATTGTCCTCTAAGCTCACTGTCTCTTCATTTGTTGATGATGAAGTGCAATGGGACATGGTGCCTCGGTCTCGGACCACTTTCAATTCCACCTTGGTGCATTTTGTGGGCTTCATGGCATGGAATTTGGCGGGTTCGCTACAGGAACGTGCAATAATGGCAATGACTTTTTGGTTTTCAAGGGCTATGCAGAAAACCAATTCATATTTGGGAACATAAGAGGTTAAGTGGTTTTGTGCCCCGTATTTCCTATCACTGTTTTTTATTCAAGGACTGGGCATGTGCTATGTGGCCAATTATGTGCTCAATGTCAACCTAGCTATACAGCCGCTAGTGATGCCATTGCATGGCCATGCATGTTGTCGCGAGATGCACTACTATGCCGCAAGCATAACAGAGCATGCATATGGCAAATGCAAATGGGATGGATATTGTGGTCAATGTGATGGACTTATAGGCAGTTGTATTGTAGTTGGTCAATCGGGTCCTAATTATAGACCTAAACACAGTGCCAAAGTGCTAAAGAGTGAGAGGCTAAAATGGCATGCATACCACACAATTGATGTTGGAGTTTTGGACATGCCATAGGACCTAATTCACTTTGTTTTAAGCATGGGTTGAAGTCAATTAACACATTTCAAGGCCATTGTTTTTAGGGTCTCATTGACAGGAGGGATCATGGACTAATTAGCATGCAAACATGAGCCCTAAAATCATGTTATATAAATGATGCCAATCAAGTTATAAAATCAAGCCAAACATGCAAAGAGTAGTCAAGTGTTCAAGGCAAATCAATAATGGCATTTGA